ATTAAGAAAATGCTCTACACCGCGCTCTTGTGACCACGTTGAAGGTAAACTCAGAATCACCATTTTCTCCTTTAAGCGAAGATAGCTAGTAACCCGTGATGAGTTTGAATGGGTGTAAAATCAAGCGCTCGTGTAGGGGCATCTGATACATAAGTAACATAAGTTTGTTTCTACCTTTTTATTTTCCTTTATTTTTTTCTTGCCTTTTTTGCTTTTTCTTTTGCCCTTTTTTGCAGGACTTACATAACTTTGTTATGCCCCATACATGATGCCACATTTACTTTTTTTATTTTGTGGACCAACAAGTTTTATCAAATAAGATCATTTAGCTTCCCCCAATCTTCTAGTCACGAGGATTTTGTGAGAACTTGGGTGTTTTGATGTCGACATATCGATGCTTGCGAACCATAACTTGGATAATCAACCTTATTTCTAGTCGAGCCCTGATTTGATAGGGAAGATTGGATATGATAGTGAAAAGCTTCTACAAGTAGCCTAGTGGCGTATTCCTGCTGCACCCTTTTACTATTTAGCTCACAATATTTTACGGACACCAGTTGGGTGTTTATACTCTCAATATAGCACAGTGCTCAAACTCTCAACACAAGTGGGTTGCTCAATTTTTGGACACCACTAGGGTATATATATTCACTCGCACCAGTAGGGTGCTTATGGTTGTTTAATATGAAAATTTCATGGCTTAACTTGAAAACATGAAACATTGTTTTAAGGTTCCCATTTTTAGAGAAGAAAATTAGATTTTAAATATTTCAAAGAGATGTTCGTCATTTTGTAATGAAAATGATCATTGATGCAAACTTCTAAATCAAGATTGGTACTAGGCACACAATGTTCCAAATAGGTGGAAATGCAAATGACATTTATGCTTCAACAAAGTTTGATACATTCCTTCAATATGATATAGTAACTCGACATTTATTTATTTGCTATCACTCCCATGAGGTGATTTGTTGTTGTCGGGATGATTTTGGTCTCCTCCAAATTTCAACCAACCAACATTCACCATTTGTTACACTTTTATCTTCAATCTCCTACAATCCTCAGTTGAGTGTCCTGCTACTCTAGAGTGGTAGTCGCAACATTGCTCTGGCTTATACCAAATTGGGTAGGGAGGTTGTATTTGTTGGCATGGTATAGGAGCAATCAAATGCCTTTGGACTAGTTGTGGAAAAAGCTCGGTATATGTAATGGGAATGAGATTAATTTGAATGGTTTTTCTGCATCTCCCACCACTATTTTGGTTTTGTGTATTTGTTTGTGGGGTCTCGAACAACGGTATTTGGATTCCTAGTTGTGGGGTGAAGTTTGGTTGTTGCATTGTCGGTATATTGTTTGTGACGTATGAGTGAGCTTGATTGTTTTGAGGTGAGTGACTCCATTTTCTTCCTTTTGATGGTTCACCTTGAATGAATATCTCTCTCTCATCTCCAAGTTTGCCATGATTTTTGGATTCTTCTAAAATGTCCACTTTGTCGTGTTGTTGGTATAAGTTTTTGCCATGACATGATATATCATCATCTTTAATTTCTAGTTCCTTCCTCTTGTTGGTCAATATGTTCAAGATCATGATAACTTCTTTCATTTCTTCGAGTCCCATCACCCTTCTTTTGATGTCTTCTAATTCTTTATGGATTGACTCCATACTGTGCACAGTCTTGGATTTGGTTGTGTACTCAAGGGTTTGACTTGTCCTTGTGCATGAGCAACTTTAGAAAATCCTTGATTAAAATTTATTAATGTTAAATCGTTACATGCGACTAAATGAGACGTATATTTGAGATTGATGCTTTTGCTAATGATGTAAATGTGAAATGATTTTCAGTGGATGCATGTCTATTTTATAAAAATAAATTTAGAATGATTAATGTGAATGAACGAGGAAATGATGGCGTAATGAGTTTAAAATTCCTTCACACATATAATCAAATTATTTCATTCACGAATAATTGAAAAAGCACACATTACCCGACATAAGTAAGTTATGAACTGATCATAATATAAACTCTTTCACAAACTTTTGAATTATTGAGGTAAACCTAGGGGTTTTCGCCAGCATAACGTCGTGTTTTTGGGTAGGCTCTGGGATAAGTTGCGGTTTAGGTAGTTTCTAAGCAAACTATATGCTGGGTACAAATCTTTAGGAATTAGACTCCCAAGTTGTACCACACTATGACTCTTTCAAGTTTAGCGTGATACCTCAAATCATCCTCGAATTTGAGTTCAACCTGGTTGGGAAGTTTCGTATTTCCCCTACTATTGTAGGAGTCACACTACTTTCTTCCTTTTTTCTACAAGGATAGCTCGGGGATAGAGCTTTATGCATGGATGCAATAAATTGAATACATCATAAATTAAAGGCGCAAATGGATATAGTAAACACATAACACCCATTTAAGAAAGTAAGAAAAATGCTTATCGAATGTTAATGTAGTTTGACTCTCTTTATTCCCCAGCGGAGTCGCCACTGTCGCAACTGCCCATCCGAAATCGGAGGGCCCGTCGCGAATTGCTCGGAGTCGCCATCGACCTTAGTTTCTCATGGGTCGAACATTGGATTGGTCTGGTCTCGACCTTAGGGCCTAAACCGGGATTTGGTCTGCGAAATTGTATAAATTTGGGTTCGGGAGTACGGTTACGCGTGGGGAAGTGTATTCACACCCCACAACGCCCCAAATGGGTACTACGTAAATCGATTAGTTTTAAGGGTTGGGTGTATTATAATTTGTGCCTTATTTACGTATTTAATTATATAATTCGGTTAAATATGTGTTTATTATTAATGTTTGATCATACGTCTATTGACGCGATTGTCAAAATTAAAGAAAGAGTTTTTGATTAGTTGGATTTTACGTCTATTGACGTACATATTTGGAATGAAAAAGTTTTAGGATAGTTGGACTAGAACCTATTGGTTACATACGTACCCGATTAATCGGGATCAAAGTCCACGTAGTTCGTGTTGAGAGATTTTAAATGTTCACTCTCGCACGTTGAGATGTGGAGAAATTTTTTAATTAGTCGGACTTGAAACCTATTGGTTCCCTACGTAGCCGAGTAGTCGGGATCAAAGTCCACGTAGTTCGATTTAATTTTGGTTTTGAAAAGGGGATCTTAAAACGTTTCTGTTGATACATGATTAAGTTAATAATTGTTTTTCTTATTTAAGAGATGTGATTTGGTATTTATGATTTAAAGGGAGAAATTTTGTTAGTTGGACTCGAACCTATTGGTTGCCTACGTATCCTAGTAGTCGGGATCAAAGTCCACGTAGTTCGTTCAAAAAGAGTGATTTATGGCGTGATCTTAACACGTTCTATTGATCGTGAATAAGATAATAATTTGAGTTGTTTATGAAATGTGTTTTTGATATTTTTATTATTTAGCTGGAGCTGGTAACGAGTAAATAAAATGCAATTAAAAGGGCATTTTAGTCAATTAGCAACACGAGGTTTATAAACGAAACTAAACCCTAACCTATTCTGAAACTTGGCGCAACTCAGTCTTTCCTTCCCTCTCTTGATTTCGACTCTTCCTCAAGCTGAACAATCATTGCTTGAGATGCAGCTTGTTGGCTAGAGACTTAGTCATGTACAGACTCTCTAGCTTCAACAACAAGCCCTCGGCAGTCTTCTCAGCAGCGACTTCAATGATAACATCATCAGACAACGATAGCATGATGGTCAAGTGGCCCTTTTCCTCCAGGGTATTCCACTCATCGTTATCGACCGCAACCTTCTTCTATTTTGCAGACAGCTGTCCCCACAGTCCTTGCTGCTTCAATAAAGCATGCATCGTGATCTGCCATAAAGCGAAGTTGTTCTTCCCCGTGAACTTATTGATCTTCATGTTTACCGACGTCATTCTTCATAATCGAAACCCTATCCTGTTTTTCAACCGGAGCTCTGATACCACTTGTTAAAATTGGGCTACTCAATTAGTACGATATTGTCCGCTTTGGGCCTAGTCCGCAGGGTTTTACTCTTGGGTTTCCTCCCCAAAAGCCCTCGTACTAATTGGGTTCGGTGGACACTAATATACAAGGGTCCCTTCCCTTGTATTTTCAATGTGGTACTCGGATTGTCCCATAACAATCCATCTCTCAAGACAAGGACCACGAACTTCGTGTCCTCACCTCAATGATTATCTTGATCTGCTAGACACCTTGTATCGATGGCATTCTCGATACGAGAATTCTCCTAGACGTAGAAATTTCTTTGATATGCATCCCAGACGCGTAACTCTCTTTTATCCGCCAAACTCAAACAGACATGGATCTCTCCTGGATCCACCAAACAGACGCATATCGCAAATCCCGAGGTCAACAAATGATGGTCCACCAAACTTACGTCCACCGCCCCGAACTGACCATGCTCTGATACCACTTGTCACGATTGTTGCTCTGCGGATAAGGAAATTAGAGGATTCGAAAATTCAAGAAAACGAAAGCGCACACACACGATACACGATTTACGTGGTTCACTAACACAATGTGTGTTAGCTAGTCTACGGGTAGCAGAGAGTCAGTTTCACTATACTTCGAGGAGATACAGATTACAGAGAAGAGTACGTATGAGAAGTATTTATAGTACTTCTACTATGTCTAACCCTAATCCATTGTGGTAAAGGAAAAGTTGTTACAGACCAGGACAAAAATTCGAACCCAAATAACATTGAGCCCATACACCGCGCCTCTGTGACTTCCAATCGTAACGACTGATAATCCGATTCAGGTCACATCAATCGAAGTCATCCAAACAACCCATTTGTATTATATCAAAATTATTCGATCGCTTCGTTGATCAATTTCGAACAAAAAGAGGCATAAATATATTTAACAACGAATCGAACATTTCCCTTCAAATAACAGCACAAACATTTTCTTACCCACGTCCGCCTTCCACCAAAATGCACCTTTTTGGCACCATTCCCATTCCGATTTCCCTATATATAACCCTTCGCTTCCAACCCAATTCTCAACTCATCAAGCAGTAGATCGAAATCAACCATCCTTCAAAGCTCAAACAAAAAAATATCAAGATGGCCACATTTCATCACCACTCTTTTCTCCTCTCCATCATCCTCGTAACCCTATCTGTCGCCGGGACCGCCGCCGTGAAATTCCACATCGCCGCCACCACCCCGGCCATCAGGTCCACCTTCAACCGCCGCATAGGGATCCGCTACGCCACACAGACGATGACCACAGCCTCCAGCTTCCTCTTCAAGACCTTCAACCAGCGCGACGTGGCCGACCGCAAGCCTTTCCGAAACGTCACCGTTTCCATCGACAACTCCGCGGACCACGGTCTCGTGGTCAACAACAAGAACGGCACAGAAACCAACGAGTTCCGCATCGGAGTCAACTGCTTCTCCAACGTCAGCTCCTCCACCACCGCGGCCAGGCGGCGGGAGTTCTCGGGATTGGTGTACCACTACATGACGTACGTGTGGGGATGGAACGGTGGAGGGAAAGCGCCCGCCGGGCTGATGTCCGGGACGGCGGATTACGTGCGGTGGAAGGCTGGTTTCGGGCTTCCGGAGAAGGTGGGCGGCGCGGGAGAGAGGTGGGACCAGGGTGACGATGTGACGGCGAGGTTTTTGGACTATTGCGGCGGTTTGAAGAATGGGACGACGACGTCGTTTGTTGCGGAGATGAATAAGTTGATGAAGGATGGATATAGCGACGGGTACTTTAAGCAGCTATTGGGAAAGAGCGTCGGTGATCTTTGGAGGGAGTATAAGACTGCCGTTGGCAAAGACGGTCGGTTCGAACCGATTTTGCACTGAGTTTTGGTTTGCACGATAATTAGTTACGGATTACGATCGAGCTTTTTGATGTGTGGTTGGTAAACTTAATGTAACGTTACAGAGCTTTTTGGGATTAATATATCAATGTTGGTTTGGGAATACGCACAAGAAATTGAAGAATTAATACGCTAATTTTGTTTTAATTACTTCCCTTCAGTATGGTTTTTGTTTATTTACTTTTTCTCATAATTTATACGGGTGTTTATGAGTGATTGATTGATATTTGGACACAAGTTCTAAGTTCTAATTTTTTTAATATTAAAAGCAGCGGATTGTAAAAGCGGTTAGTGACTCAATTTAGAAAGGGTCTTCAACTCGAATCAGACTTACTATATAGTCCACTCACTATATACTCACTAAAGACCTAAGTTTAGGGACAAAGATAAGAGCGATTTACAGCAATCGCCTCAATGTTCGACCCGTCTGAAGGATGACACAACCTAGTCGTCCCATCCCTATACACCAAGGACGTGACTCGCTCAGTTGGTCCTAATGAGCACACGACCGGAGGGAGAGACCGACTTCTATAGGAGATAAGAGAGCATGGTAACAACGTAACCAACCCTCTCCTAGACAAAGACAAAAACGATCTACATTGATTTGATTTGCTCATGGGTATTACCCAACTGAAGGATCACACAACCCAAGTTCTGACCCCTGGCACCAACGGTGTGATTCGCTCAGTCGATCTTAACAGGCATACTACCAAAGGGTATATCCCATATCGAGCAGTGGATAAGAGCTCATTGTAAGCTCTAACACTTTTTAAACAAGTTCCTTATATTACATTGTAGATACTTCAACGATCTTTATAGGACCAAGAAAACTAGAGAAATGTTTAATTTTCGACATTTGGTCGTAACACATGTCTTCTATTTTCTTGCATATTTGAGTGAAAATGCTATAGCCAGTAATGTTCTTAGGTTCAAAAAATAAAAATTGAAGAACATACTTATCAATGTGTAATTTTCAATCATGTTGTTTTAATGAAAAGTTTGTTCCCATTCGTTGGTAATACATGGATATCTAGATATGAAGTGTGGTGCGTGAAATCTAAGTGACAGTTTGACCTTAAACTTCCTAGCTCATTCAGTCACATCATAGCTTTCAATGTCTTTCACACCAAACGCTTTCATTTCTGGTATGGAAATTTAAATTTTGATTTATACGATATTCATGAATTTCGTTTCCATCTTCTTATATACGTTCATATTCAATTTTAATTGAATGAAGAGCTGAACTATTATGATCAGACTATAATTCGAACGAAAATTCGAAAACATTAAAATTAGAGTGTGTTCTTAATCTAATCTTCGCATGCAATCAAGGAGTCCCCCTAGCCAATTGGTTTTCAGGCCTTCGTGATATTTCATAGATCAATTATGAACAAAAAATGGCATAAGTTATATTCATGAGCAATAAATCCAAAATGTCAAACATTTGGTTACCTTACCCACATGTGCGTTCCACCACCCAAATCCAATTTTTTGGCCCCATTCACATTCCAATTCCCTTTATATAAAACCCATCCCCTCCAACCCAATTCCTCACTCAAGTTCAAGTACAAGAACTTTTATATATCAATTCTTCATCGTGGTAGAAATCCATACAGTAATTATTAGATGGCTAAATTTCATCACTCTTTTCTCCTCCCACTCCTCCTGGTAACTCTGGCGGCTGGCGGAACAGCGGCAGTAAAATTCCACGTCACCACCACAACCCCAGCCATCCGATCCACCTTCAACCGCCGCATCGGGATCCGGTACGCGACGCAAACCATGACGACAGCCTCCAGCTTCCTATTCAAGACCTTCCGCCAGCGCGACGTGGCCGACCGCAAGCCCCTCCGAAACGTCACCGTTTTGATCGACAGCTCCGCCGACCACGGCCTGGTCAACAGAAACGGCACGGCGGAGACCAACGAGTTCCGCATCGGAATCAACTGCTTCTCCAATGTCAGCTCCTCCACCGCGGTTGACCGGCGGCGGGAGTTCTCCGGACTGGTGTACCACTACATGACTCACGTTTGGGGGTGGAACGGGCGAGGCGAAGCCCCCGCCGGGCTGATTTCCGGCAGGGCGGAGTACGTTCGGTGGAAGGCTGGGTTCGGGATGCTTCGGGTCATGGCAGCGAGCAGCGACAGCGCCGGGGAGAGGTGGGATCAGGGGTACTACTTGACGGCGAAGTTTTTGGACTACTGCGATGGTTTAAAGGCGGCGGTTAATGGGACGACGCCGCCGTTCATTCCGGGGATGAATATGTTGATGAAGGATGGCTATAGCGACGGGTATTTTAAGCAGCTGCTGGGAAAGAGCGTGGGCGAGCTTTGGCGGGAATATAAAAGTACCGTTGGGAAAGGACCGTTCCTGCCCATTCTCCACTAAGTTTTTGCTTTTTAAACTTTTTTGTTGAATCATTATTTATGACGGTTTTGGTTTAGTTACTGTTACGGGTTTTTGTAAGCAAATGTTTTGTTTACATCTTATTTATGGGCCTGGCTCATTTTCCGCGTTACTGTTACCAGGGCCTTTGTGATCCCATATTGCATCGCTGTTTCATGAGCGGCACATTCCAAAGTGCGTGAACGCTGAGAAGTGAGAATTCTACCATCTCTAACCTTCACGAGAGCGGATCTGGTGACAAGGGGTGTCTACTGTTTAGTCACTTGGCTAAGTCCCTCCCAACTTTTAGATTTGTATACACAATTCTGACGGTTAAAAAGTGGAAAAGACTATTTAATTAATGACAGTGGTATTTTGGATATTATGAAAAATTATGAAATATACAAACAGTACAAACCATACAAACAGAGGACAATACAAACTAGAGTGACAAAACATACAATCAATACGAAACATACGAACTATACAAACAATACAAACTAGAATGACAAACATTACAAAACATACTAACAGTACAAAATGCCACTATTTACAATACAAAACAGTAAACTTGTATTACAAATCAATGAATACGAAGTATACAAATCACAACATAAAGTATACAAACTACACAAACAAACATTACAGGTGTCGACGTGTCCTTATATCGTTCACTCGTTTGACCGGCGGTTTTTAAAATTCAAAATCGCTATCGTTGCAATTCCCGATGTTACTTTAACCGTTCAGCTTCCCTTCGTTGGCTATAAATACTCCTCTTTCGTCGGGGGACAGATTCATTATCCTCTTTCAAACGTCTACAAACCTTTACTTCTCCTTTCTGTGTTTTCTCTGTCGTCGAGATTCCTCTCCTTCTCCCACGACCTTACTTATCCCTTTTGTTGTCGCTAATATTCGAAGAGTACGATGGACAGCAGCGGTGTAAACAACGAGATTGAGGTCGTACAAGACGAAGAAGGTAATCTTTCCCCCCTTTCACATCTTTCTACTGATCCCTCCTTGGATCTGGCCGATTCCGGCAATGGAAACGGCGGCGGAGCTAATGATGAGGGAGTTCTGACGATGCCGTCGTACGACGTCGATTCTGGGTGGGATCTCCTACACAGCTCCTCCGAAGTAGGCATACTAGGGCATACCAGTGGAGAGTCAAGCACGTGCGCTCGCGGGGTGTTTATAATTCTCCGCGACCGTGGCAGCGGCTCTGGGAATATTAATGTTGACCCGCCAGAGGACCCTGACACTCTGTCAGAGCCGTCCAATCCGCGTGGAACCGAATCGGGAATTGCCCCCCCTTGGTGGTTTGGGGTATTTTCCGAGTATTGGAGAATGGCTCCAATTCCCCATTGATATGTTGCTGTGCGCGTTGTACAGACGCCTTAAGTGCTCCGTTGCGCGTTTGTCTCCGTCCATGATCATGCACACGTCGTGTCTCCGTCTCGTGTGTAAGAGGCTGAACTTGCAACCATCCTATGGTTTGTTCCGCAAGATATACAAGATAAAGTAGCCGATGGAGAAAAGCGGCTGTCTTTCCATCAAGCGCAGGAATAAAAAGCCCGATGGTTATGTGTATGGCTCGCCCAAGCTCGAGAAGAACTGGTTCAAGTGGTTCTTCTTTGTGAAGCCCGCTCCGAGGGAGTGGGCTAGCGAGTATGTGGAGGAGCCCACGGACTGGAAGAAGAGGAGTACTCGTGGGTTTGAATCGGAGGTGGGCGCGTATGACGGGCTCGAGGAAGAGTATAAGGCGTGCCTTGAGGAAAAGATCAACTTGTACGCCAACGGGGTTCGCGCGGCTTGTTTGGCAGAACTCTTTGGAGATGGTTAGTTATTTTCCTTTTTCTTTTGAATTCTGTTGTATTAACGGGCCTCTTACGATCTATTGGCGCAGGTGTTGATTTCTTCTCACTCGAGAGCATGATGTCTGTTGACGACGTGGTGAAGGCTCCCCGTGCACCGCGTGCGGAGAAGAAGAGGAAAGAGGCGGAGCGACCCGCCATCGCGGAGGTTGATGAGGTAGATCATCCAGCGGCCGCGGAGAGGGCTTACAAAGCGCCGCAAACCATGGAGAAATTGCCCCGGGCCATTGTTGAAAAGGAGACTCGGCCAAGTAAGCCTCCTCGCCTTGAGAAGACGTTCGCAGGTAGCTCTTCCAGTGCAGCTGTGCAGCAGACGTTGCCCGAGATGCATGGGTTTGGGACGGTTGCTATTAACTACTTCCATGATGTGCGGATCCATATCGATGCCGCTTTTAATAGCTCGGCCGCGCAGATTGCCTTGCGGGCTCTTGGGCCCATGCTTAGCATCCTGGCGCGGATGGAGAAGTCGGACCCGTTCAGAACCTTTCTTAGGTTCATTTCGCGGTAAGTTTTAGTAGATTTCGTGCGTGTATTGTGTTTTTGTCAACTCGTATTTTCTCTAAGTTCTTTGGCCATGGATGTAGGGCTTGCTGGCGACCTTCCGCGCTCAACATGAACGGGCTTAGGACACCGCGGCCTTGAAGGGCGAGATGTCAAGAGCTGTTCAGTTGGAAGGAAAACTTGCTGGCATGGAGGGCCGCGCGGAGTTGGCTACCACCCGGGCCAACGAGGCGTTGGAGGAGCTAGGCATTCTGCAAAGCAAGCTGGCGGAGGATGTGGAGGCCGCGAAAGAGCAGGTCCGGGCGGAGGAGCGGGCTTCTATTCGGGAGGAGCTGAGGAGGGAGTTTGAAGAGGAGCAAAAGCGGCAGGTGGATGAACGCGCTCAGGAGAAGAAGCGCTTAGAGACCGATCATGCGGAAATGCTAAGACAGGTCCCCAAGGAGATTCAAAAGGAGAAAGTGGATCTGGTCCACCTTCACGATGTGGCTAAGGCGGAAGCCGTGCGCACAACACAGCTAATGCGGTCCTCCAGTACAAGTTTTCGACTGCATTCGGCAAGTTGTTGGCGGATGCCATGAGTAAGGCTGTAATCGCGGTCTGCAAGAAGGTGCAGTCAGAATACCACAGGATTCGCTGGAATACCCGCTCCATAGTTCGCCACGTGCATTAGTGGTTGGGTGAGAAGAATTCTCTTGAGGCGGACTCTGAGCCAGAGACAGAGGAGGAAGAGGTTAGCGCGGCAAGGGTGGCTGAAGAAGGAGAGGATGGGGCGGCTACGACTAGGGATATTGAGAATATTGTTATTGACTAAGTGTAGTCGCGCTATGTTTTTTGTTTTTGTAGTTTATGTTGACTAAGTGTGCCCGCGTTCTTTCGTCTCCCTGTTTTCGAATCCAAATATATTGAAGTTATCTCGCGGACGTTTCATCCTTTTTTGTTACCCTTACAGCTCATGACTGCGTAATGTGTGCCACCTTTTATTTTGTTAGAGCGTTTCTTGATCGTGCAATTACGTTGCTATCTTGTAGCTTTATTTGTTTCTTTGTTGCAACTCATGGTTGCTCGATGTTTTTCAAATTATCTGCGTGCTTGTTTCTTTATCGTAGTTCATGACTGAGCGATTACATTGCTGTTGTCATAGCAGTCATGTGTAACGAAATGTTGCGTTGCCCCCATTGTTGCGCGGTAGTAGGGAAAGAAGAAATTCTCATTGCATAAACAAGACATCAGCGGTACATGTCAATAGTTGTTACAAACTTCTGTGGTACTTCCTTAGATTTTGGGCATTCCATGTCGGTGGGATCGTTTCCCCACTTAGCGGACTTAGGGGCCCTCCCATGTTGATACCAACTTTCCGTGCTTCGCGTCGGGGCGGAAATTGCGCCTCCACACTTGTCTCCCATTTTATTGTTGTGTGGAACAAACTTGGCGTTGTAGTGCCTCGCGACTTGCGCCTTTGCCGCAGCTAGTTTGATAGCGGCCATCTCTCCACACTCGTTAGTCAGGTCAAGATCCGTGAGTCGCGCTTCGTTGTTGCTTTCTTCGTTGAACGTGGTGATACGATACGTGGGTACCGTCGTCTCGATTGGGATGACCGCGTCACTTTCATAGGTTAGTGTGAATGGAGTCTCGCCCGTTGCCACCTTGAACGGTGTGCGGTGTGCCCACAGGACACTGTGTAGCTATTCTGCCCAGTTGACTTTTACCTCCCTGTGGCGAGTATGCAGGCCGTGTAGGATTGATTTATTTGCCGCTTCCGCTTGTCCATTAGCTTGGGGGTAAGCGACTGATGCAAACCGGGCTATGGTACCCATTTCATCGCGCAAGTCTATGACTTCCGCGCAATCAAATTGCTTGTCGTGGTTGAATATGAACGAGTTTGGGATCCCGAATCTGGTGAGCACATTGTTCTTCAAAAAACGAACCACTTGCTGGGCGGTAATCGATGCCAGCGCCTCTGCTTCGATCCATTTGGTGAAGTAGTCTACCGCGACAATGATGTATTTGCATTTGCCTTTCGCGGTGGGGAATGATCCCAATAGGTCTACGCCCCCATTGTGCAAAGGGTCATGGACTGACATTTCTTTAGAGCTCGGTAGACGGCGTGTGATGTTGACGCGCATTCAGTCGGTAATTGTGGCATTGCTCAACGAATTTCTTTGTGTCATTCTTTATGTGCGGCCAATAATATCCATGAAGAAGGATGGTGCGTTCCATACTCCGCACGCCACTATGCATTGCGCAGATGCCTTCGTGTATATCTGGCACGATCAGTTGTGCCTCATTTGGCCTTATGCACTTGAGGTAGGCGCCCATGTGTGAGCGTCTATGTAGTGTGCCCTCAATGATGGTGCAGCGGGCAGCTTTTTGTCTGAGTGCCCAAGCTCCTTTCGCATCTTCCGTTATTGCGCCATTTTTCAAGAACACAATAATTGACGTTCGCCAGTCCTCATTTTCATCTCTTTGTGTTGTATTCACGATGTGCAGAGTGTCCTAGTCCTCTTTTTGTACGGAGATCATCCTTGTTGACTCGAAGTCCGTGGTCGTGGCAAGTTTGGACAGTGCGTCCGCGTGCATGTTCTCTTCTCGCGGTATTTGGACATATGTCACTGTTTTCAACTGTGCCTCTCGCGCTCTGACGCGCTCGATGTATTGGGCAAGTGTGTCCTCTTTGGCTTCAAATATTTCGTTCAGCTGGTTGACGGTATTGGCGGAGTCGGAAAGAAGCGTTGTTACACTTAAGAGTTCTGAAACGGATGGCAATTTCGTGGATAGCCCCTGCGGGCATTCTTATGACTACGCCCGCGCTAACTCCATGTTTGCTGGAGGCCCCTTCGGCGTAGACCTCCCACGCTCCGTCGGGTTGTCGCTCAACGTTACTCCTTCCGCGATGAAATCGGCGAGGATTTCAGCTTTGTTTGCCGGCCTTGGCGCATACTAGATGTCATATTCTGATAGTTTGACTGCCCATTTTACCATCCTCCCTGACACTTCCATTGAGCTAAGAATTCTTTTGAGCGGCAGGTTTGTGAGGACTGTGATCATGTGTGATTGGAAGTAAGGGCATACCTTCTGAGCTGCACTTACTAGCGCTAAGGCGGCCTTTTCGATTCGGGAATATTTTGTCTCCGCGCTTGCTAGTGTTTGCGATGTGTAGTAGATTGGCTTCTCTGTCTGCGCGTCTCTCCGTGAGATTAGCACTGCGCTCACTGCTCTCGCGGATACAGTCAAGTACAAAACAAATTTTCCTTAAGCCCGGGGGCGGTCAATAAGGGGGTGATACTAAGTACAGTTTGAGCTCATTGAATGCGGATTCTTCTGGGGTCCACTTGAATCGAGCGCCGTTTTTCAAGGTATAGAAGAATGGAGCGCATTTGTTTACGGATCTCGGGATTAATCGTCCCGGCGTGGCTAGCTTGCCGTTCAAAGATTGGACTTCCGTGGAGCTTCTGGGCGCGTAGTTGTTGCACTACTGTGATTTGTTTGGGGTCGACCTTGATCCCACGTTTGGTTATCATGAATCCTAGGAACTTTCCTGCTTCCGCGCCAAAGACGCATTTCAACGGGTTGAGTCGGAGGCTGTTTCAGCGTAACGCCTCGAAAGTTACGCGGAGGTCATCCAAATGTGAGCCCCCCCTTTGTTTTGACGATGAGTTCATCCATGTAGGCCTCAATGTTGCGCCCCATCTGGGGTGCGAAGACTGTGTCAATCATCTGCTGGTATGTTTTACCCGCATTCTTCAGACCCAACGGTATTCCCGTGAAACAGAAGTTGCCGAATGGTATCATGAAGGCGGTTTTCTCCTCATCTTCGCGGCTCATTGGGATCTGGTGATATCCTATAAACATATCTAAGAATGATAATGTTTCATGGTTGGAAGTCACGTCGATCAGTTGGTCGATGCGCGGTAGAGGGTATGGGTCTGCCGGGCATACTTTGTTGATGGTGATGTAGTCAACGGACATTCTCTATGCCCGGAAGCTTTTTTCACCAGGACTAGGTTTGCCAACCATCTTGGGTATTTTACTTCCCGATGAGCCAGGCGGCGAGCAGGAGCGCCACTTCCTCTTCTATAGCCTTCAGCTTCTCACCTGTGAAGGTGCGTTGTGCTTACTGTTGGGGTTCCGTGTTACTGGGAACCACAAGGCAATGTTGCGCAACATGCCTTGGCACTCCAGGCATGTCTTCTATGTACCAGGCGAAGAGTTCTTGGTACTCTTGCAGCAGCTTCACCAATGACTCAATCATGTCACCCGGGACTTGAGTTGAGATACGCACCTTCTTGTTTGGCTCTTTCAGATTTAGCGCGACCTCGAAGTCATAATCCATTGACTCTGGGCAGGGGTCGTGAACGCGGGTATCGATGATGTTGGTATGTCGTGGTGCCACGACGGAGCGCGGGGCTTGTGGTTTTCATTCGGACCATGGTGAGCCGCGCGACTCTCCTGTTCCTACCTTGGTGGGGAATTTGAGTTTTTGATGGCATGTGGATGGTAGCGCCATGAATTTTGAAAGGAATGGGCGGCCCAACATGTCGTTGTGTGGTGAGTCACAGTCTACAATAGTAAACTCGACCTGCTTTGAAAGGCGCGATTCGTCGTCTCCAATTATGACTGGCAGTGTGATTTCTCCAATGACCGTGCCCTTGTTCCGGAGAATCCCAATAAGTTGCCTTGTGCCAGTTGGATTAGTCGCAGATCTATGTCCATTTGGTCCACCGTGCACTTGAAGAGGACGTCCATAGTGCTCCCTCTGTCCATGAGCAGGCGGTGGGTTTTGCACACGGCGATTAGCGTCGTTATGGTCAATGGATCCTCTGACGGGATTCCTTGGGGGAGCTCCGAGTCGGTGAAGCTCATATCACACTTGGTGGTGGTGCGTGTTGTTGCGCATTCCACCGCGCAGTCTCGCTTCGTCTTCCTTTTTGGTCTGTCACCCTCAATTGCGACGACTCCTATCTCTTTGAGAACGATGTAATATCCCGTTGCCTCGTTATAGTCTGGTTCGAGAGGCAGTGGTGGGATAACTTGCTGTTCCTTCCGCTCCTCTGCTCCCTTAACGCATTCCGCTAGGTAGCCTCTTCTGATGAGCGTTTCTATTTTGAGGCACAGGTTGAAGCAATCTTTAGTCATGTGGCCTGATTCCCGGTGAAAGTCGCAGTGCTTTCTATGTTCTTTACTGAGTCGGTACCCCTTTTCCTTGATGAGGTGGAATATGTTCTTTACTGAGTCGTTAAGAAGGGTGAAGCTGATGGGCGGGCGCCTGTCTGCGGAGCATCTGCGTTGTGCCGGCTCTGGTGGAGCTAGGGGTTTGCCATATTTTCTATGGTACTGCGGGAGCGACTGTTGTGGCTCCCGCCGCCTTTGCTCCTCTGTCGGTGGCTTGGTCGGTTCGTAGCGGCGGACTGATCCCGCTCCAAGGGTTTCCTCTAAGGTGTTGGCTTTCTCAATTTTTGCTTCCAATTCCGAGGATAGTGTGACTGGTCGCTTTGCCAGCACGCGCTTGAGCTCCGCGTTGGTGGTGGCTTCCATGAGGTGGTGGACAGTAGTTTTTGGAGTTAGGTCACGTACCGCCATCGCGGTCCTCGACCATCTGGCGTAGAATGCCCATAGGCTTTCCCCGTCCTTCTGTTTTAGGTCGATCAAAGCTTTGAGGTGAAGCGACCTTCTTTTTTGCGATGCAAACTTTGTTGTGAATAGTAGTATAAATTCCTCTAAGGTGCGGATGATTCCCTTGGGGAGTCGGTTGTACCAATCTAGGCATATTCCTGCGAACGTGGACGGGAAGGTCCTGCATAGTGTCGTGTTAGAGTTTGTTTGCAACTGCATGCGGAGACAAAAGCTACTAACGTGATCTTCCGGGTCTGTTGTTCCATTGTATGTGGGCAGGGCGGGTGGGATTCCGGTTAAGTGCTCCGCCATAATCTCAACGCATAAGGGTTGATGCAGAGTCCTTTTAGGCGGAGCGTGATACTGTGGGGAAAGGTGTTGCTCTAAGAACGTCAGGTTCGATCTTGTTGGCGGGTCTTGTTCGCGGGATTGTGGAGCCGCTTGCCTGGTTGCCTGGAAATCCGTAGGCGGTGGGGGTGTTATCACTGGTGGCTCGAACGTTGTCGCGGGGGTTTCTTTGTTCATCATCAGGGCGATCATTTGATTCATTTTTGCCTGCATATCCGCGATGACTTCGTTTTGTTTGGTCATTTTCTGGCGGACCTCCTTGGCTGTCAGCTTTGGCTCTTCTTCTTCAATCGATACCGCGTTGAGGTTGCTAGCTTCCGCGAACAACCTGGGGTTCGTCATTGCCTTGATTGGCGTTGCTTTGTTGGGAGTATTATTACTTTGTTCCGCCATCATGACTTGCTGTCCTACTGCTTCTCTACTCTAGCCCCACGATGGGCACCAATTGTTTGAGTCCAACTGAGAGTAGGAGTGAGACTCAGATAAAGGGGGATGAGGAGAGTAAGCAATAGGATCATGTTTCCTTCAGCCGAAATGAGGTTACAAATAGCTATGATCGGGAGAGAGGAGATTTTCGATTGAGAGAGTTTTCTCCTAGAGTGAGAGAGTAAAAATCTGATCCCCTCACCCACCGGAGTAAATGTCGTATTTATAGGCTACAATGTGGTGGGTGAGTATTTAATGCAACATGACTATTGGACTTGTCAGACGCTTAAGCCATGACTCTACCTAAGGCTAGACACTTAGCCCATGATTATACCTAGGACTAGGATGTGACTACTCTTTAGAGCATACGGTGTCGTTTCCTGGTTTCTTCATCCGGCTTGAGTTGAGCAAAACGACGTCGTTTGGCGCCTTGGTTCTTATGGCGCGCTCCATATCACGGATCCCAATCGGCGAGTGCGGCCTTTTCCGCGGATGTGGTATTTCCGCGAGTTGCTCTATACCTTGGGCGCGACGGTGCTGACGCACGTGGTTCTTCTGTGATGGCGTCAGACTGCCTTATTGGCGTGACTGGACCCGAGCCATGCCCCCAACAACAATGTATACAAATTAGTCATATTACAAACTAGAATGATAAACGATAAAAATAGAATCAATACAAAAATTACAAAACATGCTTACAAAAATTAAAAAACTCTCTCTATCTATCTATCTATCTATCTATCTATATGGAGATGACTGGTATGCTATGCTCCAGATTATCTCACCGTTAGATTTACATGGATTAGCTACGGCCAATCTCAACGGTCAACTCTTCTTTTCTCTTAAATTGAACTTTGGGTTTGGGATTAGAAAATCCTGGCATGTGGTTTATCCATTTGAGGTTAGGGTATAATATCATGCCCCAAACTCGGTTTAATTCATGGTCTAGATAAAGGTATCTCACTATGAGTACATGGAGCATAGTATGCTCCAGGAGCACACGAGTCTGACCCATATATATATATATATATATATATTCACATTTCCCAGCCGCCTTGCAAATGGACTTACGCCAGGAAAATTCCTGGGATCCTTCGCCGGCGGAATAGGCACGGAGACGCGGGGGAAGTTTCCGGCCGGGGAAGAGACGCGGCAGAAATTAAAAATTTTTTAATTAATTAATAATTGATAATTAATAAAGTTTGCAATTACTGTATTACCCTTCATTAAAATGGATTAATCTGACTCATTATATTTTAATTAGGTGGAATGGCTGAGATTCACTTAGTCACTTGACTAAGGCAACCCCTTAGTCACCTCATCTTAGCCCTAACCTTCATGCCATTATAATATCCGATATTAAAGTCCGGCTTGTTGAACAGGATAATTTAATTTGATAGGTTAAAACTCAACAATTTAGATATTGTGTGATTACTCACTTGATAATATTAATGAATTCTAAATTCTAAATATTTCATACGTTAAAGATTATCAATGTTATATCAATGGCCAGTAAAAAATATTAATACTATTGGTCATTTTTGTCACAAATTACCCGATCATTGTTACTTATAGCTTAAACCATGAGTACATTAAATTAGGACATGTTTTATGAGAAAATATGTGTTTGTCAGTACATAACTCTTAAACCTCTCTGTTCCACATTGCACTGATGTTCTATTATAAAATTCATATGATTAGGTGATATATGTCCATTTAGTGCAAGGATTCAAATAAAATTCAGTTTGAATTTAGTGTATCAATTCATGTAGTTTGTTGAATATTGCACATGCCAAGAGCATAAGTTTGTCTGGATATTTGTGTCCATGCCCCTTTACTGTAAAGAAAATTTTTTCGACTGAGCTCCACTTTTTTCGGATCTTCAGAATCGCGCTGCAGCTAGGGTTTCGACAGACTATCGATGAGTGTCAGCGCGGGGGGGGGGGGGGGGGGGGGGGGGGCTGCCCCCACCCCAAACGACTACAGAGGAGCAGCGTTCTCCGTCCCAGCCTTCCAAGTAGGCAAAGCCCCATGTCGGACGAGGGATTTATAGGCAGTGCAGCGATGCAAGTGGACCAGACCTTGCATTGCTCGTCTCCTTCGTAGGAGATGGTGACGCCAGTAGAACCGGCCAAGGTGGCGACGGCACGCTCTTGGAAGGATCTGGTAACTGGAGAGCAAGATAGGGAGGAGATTGATGGCGAACCTAAAGATGAGATGGAAAGCAACGGGGAGGGGGAACCGGACTGCCCTAATATAAAAATTGACCGCGACACAAAGAAACGCCTAGGGAATGAGTGGCGTCGGGCCATTGTTGTGAAATTTTTGGGACGCTCTTTCCCATTCCTCTTCCTCCAACATCGACTCCAATTCCTCTGGGCGAGACGGACACCATAACAGTGGCGAGTATGGGACAGGGTTTCTACTCAGTCCGATTCACGACGGAGCGGGACTATGACATGGCTCTCTTTGAGGTCCCCTGGATGATTGAGGATCACTATATCCTCACTCGCCGTTGGAAACGAGGTTTCAATCCTGACGAAGGGGACGACGTCCTAACCAATCTACTAATCTGGGTGCGCCTTCCTATATACCCATGGACTACTACGACTCGATCATCCAACGTGACATTGGAAACTCAATAGGCAGGTACATTAAGATGGATGCTCCTACAAGGGATGCATCTCGAGGACACTATGCGCGAATTTGTGTCGACGTGAATCTTACAAAACCCCTGATAGTGAAGTACAGGCTGGAGAGGCGTATACGGCGTTTGCAATATGAGGGCCTCCACAATGTTTGCTTTGAGTGCGGCAGGTTTGGGCATAGTGAGGAAGTTTTTCCGATGAAATCATTACCATCCCCCACGGTGGAGGACTTCCAGAAAACCCAATCACTTAGCCTCAGCGGAAGATTGAGGAGGAGCGCCCTGAGATATTTGAGGACTTCGGTCCTTGGATGTTGGCGACCAGGAATAGGAGGAGGAACACAGGGCGTATCCAACCAGCAAGGAGGTTACTGCTTCGCCCATCAAAGCCTATAAAGGAGGCTCTCGTTTTACTCTGCTTGATGATCTCAATGATGAGCTGATGGAACATCCGAGCACGCTAGTTGTAGTAGCCAACGAGGGTGCTACCGATCTTAGTGAAGGGCTACTAACTCGTTGGAAAATTTGCAGGGTGGTATTGATGACCCGAATAACGGTCTGGAGGGAATCGGTGGCCCTATAGTAAAGACGCAAGGTGGCTAGTGGCTCAGGCCAACATTCGGGTACAGTGTTGACGTCGGGTAATAGCAAGGATGGGTTGAAAACAATGGAGAGCACGGCGGGGAGGAGGACTGAGGTGGCTACCAAAAGTGGTAAAAACTGGGGAGCTAATAAAGGGCAGAACATTCGCAAAGCTAAGGGCACAGACAAGAAGGAGACTAAGAAGAAGGAGAAGGCTCAACAGAAGGAAAGGGGACCTCGTAAACCTCTACCTTCAACGCCTCCACAGTCTAGTATGGCTAAGCAGCCCGATGAACGAAAGGGAGCAGCAAGGAGTCTTAATCTTAATGATATTCTTGATGCAGTGGGGCTCAACCCTCCTAGTGATTCGCGGACATCAAGCATTGTCGCGGATAAGCGCGCCCATAGCAGGTCTGAGGTAGTAACGGGTGAAGGCGAAGAGACGACCATGCATGCACGTGACTTCGTGCCTTGGCTGGTTCCCAGGGAGTTCCCTTTCTCTTTGTCTTATGCTTTGCGTCTTTTTGCTTTGTTTTAGAGCTTGATGTGTTTTTTTCATTTCCATTTATTATGTTTAAAATATTTGCTTGGAATTGTCAAGGTATTTTGCAGGAATTATAGGCCGAATATCGTAGTGATCTCAGAGCCGAAGATTATTGGCAGCTCGGCTGCCAATATTCAGCAGAGAATGGGCTTTGACAGTAAAGCTTGTGTGGAGGCTAATGGTTTCTCGGGTGGGATTTGGGTGCTGTGGAAGGCTGGTGAGGTCGAGCTAGAGGAGATCACCCGGTCGAACCAAATGCTACACATGCGGATTAAAATTAGCAGTGGAGAGGAAGGGTGCCTCACTGCTCTCTACGGAAGCTCTACCCAGAGCACACGTCAAGCACTTTGGGAGGATCTCATGGGCCTGGCGGTGAACATGAAAGTACCATGGCTGCTTACGGGCGACTTCAACGCCATGTTAGGCCCTAATGACAAGCCGGGAGGGCGCCCTTTGTTGTGGCTCCAAGTCGAGAGTTCAGGAGTTGCGTGGATGATTGTGGTCTGTTCGACATTTCTTTATCGGGGCCTAGATTCACGTGGCAAAGTGGTAACCTTAGAGAGTGCCTTGACTGGGCCCTATGCAATACCCAGTGGCTCCAAAAGTTCCCCGAAACCCACACGTATAACCTGCACAAGCTGAAGTCCGACCATCGCCCGGTCTTTACGAGCTCAGAAAGACAACCAATTAATGGACGCTCTAGTAAGCCTTTCCGCTTCCTTGCACCGTGGCTTTTGAACGATGACTTTCCTCGGGTTTTGCAGGATAGCTGGTCCACCAACATGGATTACTGTGGAGCTATTGCGGACCTGACCACGACTCTCATTAAGTGGAACAAGGAGGTGTTCGGGAACATTATAGAAAAGAAAAGGAAGCTTAAAGGCAGACTGCGGACCCTAGAGGAACAAAACAAACTTCGGCCATCCCAGGCACGGCTTCTGCAAGAGCTTAATGTCCGCAACGACCTGATCGAAGTGTTGAAGCAAGAAGAGCTGCTTTGGTACCAAAAGTCAAGGGCGAAGTGGTTCATAGACGGGGACCGGAATACTAAGTTCTTCCATCCTTCCACGCTCAAACGCCGCTACCGCAACCGCATTCGGAATCTTAGATCCGTGGTTAATGAATGGATTGAAGACCCCGCACAATTACAAAGCTTGGCCCAAGAGTTCTTTATGGATCTCTACATGGACCCGGGGGGGGGGGGGATTGGTCAGCCTTAGAGGATCATTCTCCCCAGTGCGATGATGAGGACTATGAGACTTTGGCACAGGAGATTCAGTCAAGCGAGGCAGTGACGGCTCTTAAATCGATGGGAGCTTTCAAGGCCCCGGGAAAGGACTGTTATCAGCCGCTCTTTTTTCAAAAATGTTGGAGCACTGTGGGACAGAACCTGGTGATGTTTCTATCGAACTGTTTCAGGAATTGAGAGTTGGTTGAAACTGTCAATGAGACTCCCATAGTGCTCATTCCGAAGACGTCTCATCCGGAGAGAGTGTCTGACTTCGGACACATCAGCCTGTGCAATGTGGTATATAAAATCTTCACTAAATGCTTGGCGAGAGTGTCTGACTTCGAAACCGTTGATGAACAAGCTTGTAGCCCCTACTCAAACTAGCTTTGTTCCCGGGAGGCATATCCAGGATAACATCATTATCCTGCAAGAGGTGGTGCATTCGATGCATTCGAGGAAAGGAGCTAAGGGGAAAATGGTGCTCAAAATTGACCTTGCTAAAGCCTATGACCGCTTGAGATGGAGCTTTATTGAGGATACTCTGTAATGTGCGGGGCTTCAAGGGATTTTGTTACCGCAGTGATGAAGTGTGTAACGACCCCATTCATGGAGATCTTATGGGAAGGAACCTCTACGGAGAAGTTCAGGCCCACTAGAGGGACCCGACAAGGATGCCCTTTGTCGCCCTACCTCTTCACACTCTGCATTGCGAGGCTGAGCCATCTTATTGAAGAGGCAGTGAGTAACGGTATCTGGAAGCCGATCCAACTTATTCGAGGTGGGACGAAACTCACTCACCTGTTTTTTGCTGATGATCTTGTTCTTTTTGCAGAAGCCTCACAGGAACAAGTGGAAGTTATTATGGATTGCTTGGACCAGTTCTGCGATGCCTCTGGAGAGTTGGTGAGCAAGGACAAGTCACGCATCTACTTCTCCAAGAATGTGAAGCGAGATTTGGGTAGAGACATGCGTAACAGGCTGGGCTTCGCGATGACGCAGGACCTGTGTCGCTATCTAGGGGTTCCCGTCCTCCATGGTCGAGTCAAGAAACAGACGTACCAGTACTTGCTTGATCGAGTGGATCAACGCTTAGCAGGTTGGAAAGCGGAGAGCTTGTCCCTCGCCGGTCGAGTCACCCTGGCGCTATATGTCCTCAACGGCATACCGATCTATGCGATGCAAACCTCGGTTCTTCATGCAGCAATTTGTGATCACATCGATAGACGTATCCGCGGGTTTATCTGGGGATCGCAATAAGAAAGACGCCGCATCCATTTGATCGATTGGGACACCATTTGTCGGCCCAAGGATCAGGATGGTCTTGGCTTGCGTAGTGCTTGGGATCTCAATACGGCGTACCTTATTAAACTTGGTTGGACTATTCTTAAAAACGTCGATGAACTCTAGGTACGTATCCTCACGGAAAAGTATCTAAAGGAGGGGTCTAACGGGGTGCTTAGTGCTCGCAGGAAGACTGGATGCTCAACCCTATGGTGAGGTATCCGTCGGGTGTGGGCACTGATGGATGGTGGTGCACGGTGGAGCATTAGAGATGGCAAATCAACCTCCTTCTGGAACACAGGATGGCTGGACAACAGCGATTTCCTGGCGGACCATGTCATCAACGATCAATTCCTGGGAGATGCGAGTGTGGTGGATATGGTGTCGTCGGAAGGTGAGTGGGATTTGGACCGCATTGCACCTTACTTACCCCGGGAATTCGTTTTGCATGTGGCAGGCGTGCCTGTACCTAGGGAAGATCTTGGTGATGACGAGCTCGTGTGGGGTCTGGAGCTAGAGGATTAGTTCTCCCTCAAGTCCGTCTACAACCTTGTGGCGGAAGTCAACAGGAGCGAGGAAGCCAGCCCGTGGAGAACAATTTGGCGGTGGCCAGGACCGAGCCGAGTGCGCCACTTCTTGTGGCTTGCTGTGCACGACCGGCTGTTGACAAATTCCAAGCTCGCCCGCCGACACATCGACACCAAATCAGTTTGCCAACGTTGCAGAGGGGATTCGGAGACCCTGGATCATGTCCTCCGTCAGTGCCCGTTCACTAAGGAAGTGTGGGCAGAGATGCTTCCTGCAACGCTCCATCCCGGTGACAGCCACGACGTCAAGACTTGGTTAACAGAGTCACTCAAATGCCCCCTTAGCCAGGTTCGATTTGGATTCACTTGTTGGTTCCTATGGCGTGCACGGAATGGTTTCATTTTCTGAGACATCGTAGAAGCCCCTAACAAGTTATCGCAAAAGATCCTTGCCTGGGATGTTGTCGCTCAGCAGAGTAAGCAAACGGAACAAACTCTTTCCCTGAGGAGGTCGGGGTCGCGTCGAGACGTGGCCGTGGGGTGGAGACCGGCCCCGACATGGTGGATCATAGTGAACTCTGATGGGTCACTCTTGCGACCCTCAGGGCCTACCGCTGCAGGAGGAGCGCTTAGAGACTGACAGGGTTGCTTGTTAGGGGCCTATACGATGAACCTGGGGAAATGTACCATCACCCGTGCAGAGATTTGGGGGGCATTGAAGGGTCTTGAGCTAGCTTGGGAAGCAGGACATCGACAAGTAGAGCTCCAACTCGACTCCAGGACGGCGATTTCTCTTCTTCAGGACTCAGGACAGCACAACCATCAGCATGCTAACCTCACCTTGTCGTTCCAGTCTTTGCTTCGTAGGGACTGGGTTGTGCGTATCACTCACATCTATAAGGAGGCCGATTTTTTGGCCGACTGTCTTGCTCACAAGGCACATTCTCTGACCCCGGGCTTTCACTCTGTTCCTGTTTCGGACCCTGATGTTTGTCATTGGACCCGGTTTGACTCTGTTGGCGGTTTTACCGTTCATTCGATTTATGAATAAGAGGTAGTGGTGTACGAATAAATCAAGCCACTTAAACAAAACACACTAAGAACTTTTGCAAGATGAAACCAAAGTCAAATTAATCGAACCACAATTTATCATTTGAAAATAGTTTATGTACACAACAAGTGAGTTGTGTATTAATACGTCATTGATGACGTGAATTTTTTTCTTGAAAATATACTAAATTATGTTTCATTATATTAATATGCTATATTTCTTTGACAGAAAACAAGCTTTGTATAAGCACCCTTGCCATATTTTGTTAACGACCTGCTTCGCACAACATAGGTAATGATCTCACCACTATATATTTTTACCATGAAACTTCACCACATTTTCTGCTAGTAAATAAATGTTTCCTTTCTCGGGTAGAATCCTTTAAAAAATTTATCTATGAGTAATTATTAATAATTATCATGAATCATAATTTAAAAATAAATTTATTAATGGTTCAAATCTGGTTATGCATTTGTGTATAGCCAAGTGGTATGCACCCTATTTTCGACGCTCTCTCATCCAAAGTTTGGAACCAGGGAGCAGACATTAGAGGGATATATATTCAAAGAAGAAATTAAAAAATAAGCATTAATTTAGGTTACTGCTAACTTTGATATATTTTGAAGAAAGTATACCTTGATATTCTGGAAAAAAATTATTATAATGAATTCATATGCTTCAAAAGAAAATTTATAAAAAAATCTGTAAAATACAATAAGTGTCTATACTTTAAGTAAATCTCTTTCAAATATATTCCATTAAATCTTTCAATGGAGCCTACCGTGGTGGTGCGTAAGATAGAAAGGGAAGAGTGGAAATGATAATAGATAATGGGATTGTGGAGAGTGATTATCCAAGCACCGCCAGTACACACATTTCTTGATCATATGTGTTTTGGTCGTTCTACAACATAATTGGGGTTATCTTGCTCGTTTGATTAATGTTCAAGAGAAAGTTGGCGCTTGCAACCTTTTGACTACAAAATATTACAATCATTATTTTACGAATATGATATATGTTCATACGATAATTTTACTCTTCTATGTATCACCATTTGATCATATTATACGCTAGTAAAATAATAATTATATTAATTCTTATTTTAATTTTTTCAAAATATATTAAAGTGATTGTCATTTTAAAGAGTATAATTTAAAATAATTTCCCAAAAAATAAAGTTTAAAAATTATATTAGAATAAATGAAATATAACATATGACCCGTTAAATTTTAATTAAAGAATAATAAGGTCCTTCAATCGAGACTCTTTTTTTATTAGTCAACGATTAAAACTTGTTGCCATCTCCCTAGTAAACCAGTGTTACTCTAGTAGGGGGCTAAGTTACCTAACTTAGAATTTGTACTAAGGTCACAGAGGTCCCGGAAACATTAATTTGGATAGCCAGAAGGAACAAAAGTATGAACATTGAACGGTGGATGTAGATTCTACTTCCCTTGAAGTCCAACTGTGTAATCAATTGAACCAGGAAAGAAAAAACAAGCATGCCTAACTGCATTGGCAGCCATATCGTCACTCTTGGAATTCCTCTATCAGACTCACTAACAGGAGCGCAGTTAGTGGCATGCATTTTATTCCACACGCGACTTTTCAGTGGCACCGTGGAAGAGGAAGATGTTGGAAATGATAAGAAGAGTATGCCAATAACTCCAACTCCACCGTTCTCCTCACTGTCCGCCTGCTTACCAATTTTCCATGAGGTGAACTATAATGACTGTCACGATAATTGTATAAACTGATTGATGATCGGCTCTAGAATGAGAAAGCGAAATAATTGACCACTAACCTAACAAATTCCAAGTTGGTCCTTTTTGTAGAATAAATTAATCCCCGAGTCTACAAAAGACAAGTCTAACTCCATGGAGTAATTGACCTGTCAAATTCATAAATAATGGTAAACATTATGCTCGTCCATTCTTCCTTTACTTCCACTATAAAATCAGCTCCATATTCTCTTGCGTAATCAAACTACTCGAGAGCTACTTACAATTTTCTCAATCTCAACATGGGTTCCCCAAAATCGCCTATTCCCAAGAACAACCCATTAACCAATGTTTCAACAGTCTTGTTGCTCTTGGCTTTGCTACTTGCCAACCTACACACCACAGGTATGTACATCTCCAATAGCCAACTGAATTATTTATTTCTATATTCACACATTTTAATTTTTAAGTCGATTCTAATCGTTTGACAATCATTTAGGTGCTCAAATTGGAGTTTGTTACGGGAGGTTAGGCAACAACTTGCCACAACCGAGGGAAGTCGTAGCACTTTACAATCAGAACAACATCCGAAGGATGCGACTCTATGATCCACACCCACCTGCACTGGAAGCCCTGAGGGGATCAAACATCGAGCTCATGCTCGATGTCCCCAACGAGCAGCTCCAATCGGTCGCCTCCAGTCAGGGCAGTGCAGACACGTGGGTTAGAGACAACGTTGTCAGGTACGCCAATGTTCGATTCAAGTACATCGTTGTCGGGAACGAGGTCAAACCGAACGACAACCGGCTCGCCCCGTACCTGTTCCGGGCGATGCAAAACATCCAAACTGCTATGGACAAGGCCGGTTTGGGCAGCCGAATCAAAGTCTCAACAGCCTTCGAATATGGGTTCATGGGCGTGACCTACCCTCCATCAAAAGGGACATTCAACTCCCAGTACCGCAACCTCCTCAATCCCATCCTGTCCTTCTTAAGGAACCACAATTCCCCACTCTGTGTAAACTTGTACCCATTCTTCAGCTACCGTGACAACCCGGGCCAAATCCGGCTTGATTATGCTACCTTCACCGCTCCATCCGGTTTGGTGTCCGACCCACCTGTAAGCTACAACAACCTATTCGACGCAATGTTGGACGCGACCTACTCTGCTTTGGAAAAGGAAGGGATGGGGTCTCTGAACATTGTGGTGTCGGAGAGCGGATGGTCGTCGGCCGGCGGTGGGCCGGCAACCACGGTGGATAATGCAAGGACTTATAACAACAATTTGGTTCGGCATGTTAAGGGTGGAACCCCTAAGCGGCGAGGGCCTATTGAGACTTACATTTTTGCAATGTTTGATGAAGGGAACAAGGACCCGGAATTGGAGAAACATTTCGGGCTGTTTAACCCGAATAGGCAGCCCAAGTACCCGATGAATTTCAATTGAACGACGGGGAACGTTTGATAGGAGAGATTATATGTATACTATAAGCTTATAATACTGTGAAGTTGCGGGTAAAATAAGAGCATGAGCTTTGTTCCCTCCCCAATAACTACAAACTACAGGGGGCACAATGTCTTTGTGTGAGTGTGTGGCGGAGGATATTGAAATGCCATACTATCAACGTATTGATCTAGTAATAATTATTGTATTATTGTATTGTCCATCTTGTTAAGATTCAATATTATGGAGTAAGAGTTTGGAATGACATTCCATAAAATTCGTATTGAAACATGACAACTCTATTAGTATGATATTGTTCTTTTTTGGGCAAATCCGCACAATTTTATCCTGGGTTGTTCTCCCCAAAAGGCCCCGTACTAATTGGGCTAGGTGGACACTAATATACAAGAGTTTCTTCTCTTGTATTTCCGTTGTGCTACTTGGATTATTCCATAACAGTTTGGATTATTGTAAAGAGAAAAGTACTATCTACATAATCCAAATTTGAAAATTACATTGGTCTAATATTCTTATATAAAAGCCTTGGTTGCCTTTCAAGTATTCGCTAAGATGTGTTTTGGTAATTAATCCCAAACTCTAATTAAGGGCCAAAGTTCCTCATATGGGTCACACTTAAATATTTTCCCTATTTCTCCTCTCAACTATCATCCTAAGAAAATAAAGAGAAAATGAGAACAAGAAATATTATGTGGGTCCCACCATTTTTTTATATTTCTTTTCTAAATTTGTATTTTGTTGTTGTGTGGTTTAAATAGATCTATTTGTTTGTATTTAGTTTTACATCTTTAGTCATCTCGCTCGAACTCATTGATCTATTTGTTCGTATTTGATTTTACGTCTTTAGTCATCTCACTCGAGCTCTTTTTTTTTTTTGGTCGAATCTCACCCAAGCTCTATCTCAAATGGAAAAGTCACGGAGAAATCTTCTAATATGGATTATCAACCATTAATCATATTTTTTTATTGTTCGGTTGAAATACACCTCTTTGTTTGGATTTGGTTTTGCATTCTTACTCATTTCTTTCTAGCTCTCCATTAAAATAGTGAAATTGGCATCAAAATCAAAGTACTACCTTCTTTCATCTTTTTCTCCCTTTTTTTCATTTCAAATGAAATAAGTTTGTAAATCTCTAAATATCAGTTTTGAGCTCCAAATATCTAGATCGGCGTCCTCTATTTTATAACTTCATTTGCGAGCTAGTGCATATTACTATGAACCTCTACCGCACCATCTTAGTAATTTTTCTTGCATTTCTTGGAGTTATGTTGTACGAATTATATTATACTAATTCTTTCCTAACAACTCATTTACCGTGCTATTTTCAACTCGCCATGAAGCACAAGCGAGCGTGCATATCTAGTATTCATAAAAGGTAAAAATGCACAAAAAAACTAAAAACACCTCTTCATTCTAAATAACGAGTTCATATTAAACACAAATTCGGTGTGAAGTACTTTTGATGTCAAATAAAAATCTTGGTTGTCTTTCTACCATTCATTAAGAGGTCTTTTATTCATGAAGATGTCTTTTGGTAATGAATCCCAACTCTAAGGGGAAGAGTTCATCATGTTGGTCCCACCCAAATATTTTCCCTTTTCTCCTATCATTCTAAGAAAATAGGGGGAAATGAGAACAAGAAATGTTATGAGGGTCCCTCCACTCTTTTAATTATTTATTTTCTAATATATATTTTTGTTGTTGTGTGGTGGTGTTTAAATAGATATATTTATTCGAATTTAGTTTTAGTGTGTAGTCATCTCGCTCGAACTCATCGATCTATTTGTTTGTATTTGATTTTATGACTTTAGTCATCTCACTCGAGCTCTAGCTCAAATAGGAAAATGACAGAGAAATCTTCTAATATGGGTTATCAACCATTAAGCATAATTTTATTGTTCTGTTGAAATCCACCTATTTGTTTGGATTTGGTTTTGCATTCTTACTCATTTCTTTCTTGCTTTCCATTAAAAAAGCACAATTGGCATCGAAACCAAAGGAACCTGATGTTACATTCTTTCGTCTTTTTTCTCTTTGATTTTTTTTTCATTTCAAATGCAGAAACTTTGCAAATGCTCTAAGTAACAGTTGTCGAGTTCCTAAAATGTATATCAACGTCCTTTAATTTATAAGTTTACTTGCCAGTGAGTACATATTACTACGAACCTCTCCTGCAACATCTTAGTGATTTTTCTTGCAGTTCTTGTAGTTATGTCGTACGAATGATATTTTATTAATTCTTTCCTAACGACTCATTTACCATGCTATCTTCAACTCGCCGCGAAACACAAGCGAGCGGGCATATCTATTATTCATAAAAGGTAAAAATGCACTAAAAAAGCTCTTCATTCTAAATAATTTCTTCATTTTAAGCACGAATTTGGTATGAAGTACTTTTGGTATCAAAATTTAAACCCAAAATTAAGTTCTAGTTTCAACGCTCATAGTACACAACCTTCATCTGAGATAGGATACGGTCACATCCCTCAAGGGGGTTGTGAATTTCGCTACAAATGGCAATTTGGGTAGTGCAAAAAATAATCTTATTAATTATTTTTCTTTTTATATTAAATACATTTTAGGGAATTAAAACACATATTAAATACATTGTTTTATTTTATAATTTAAATCTTATCACAAATATATTTCTTTCTCTTCCTTTTCCAGCAGCAAATGACTCCGACCGGCTAATTTTCTCCGACCGCTAGACCTTCTCCAGTGAAATCCTTTAATCATACTCGCTCCGGGCACCCAGAAAAAAGTACCCTTCCGTCAATGCGTTAATGGTAATGATTTTTGTCTAGTGGTACGTAAAAATTACCAATGGTATCGTACAAGTAAGTACTGGTACGCTAGCACTAGTCACTGGTATGATACCACTACTCATTGGTACGTACCAGTAGCGCCTACCAGATGGTAGTGGTACCAAACGATAGTGGTACGCTACCACTAAGATCTGGGCACAACCATATGGTAGTACCACTGGCAGCTACTAGATGCTAGTGGTACGCTACCAGATGAAAACCAATACCACTAGTCTAAAATAAAATAAAAACAATATCTGAAAAAGATGAGGAAAGGGGGAGTTTGTGACATCGCGCAGGGACCTCGTGGCAGTGGTGGTGGGAGGCAGAGGCGGCGTCTCCACCGTCGGAGGGATGGCGACGAGGCGGTGGGAGGGTTGCGGCTGCGACGAGAAGGTTGGAGCAGTGGTAGGAGGCGGAGGGCGCAACGAGACGGCAGAAGGACTCCGGCGGTGTTGGCGGCAGAGAGAGAGAGAGAGAGAGAGATAGGGAAGACATGGGAGGAAGAAGAAGAAGAAGAAGAAGAAGAAGAAGAAGAAGAAGAAGAATAAGAAGAGAGAATTGTTGGTGATGGCGGTAGAGAGAAAGAGAGAATGGAAATAGAGTTAATGTAGGGAGCTGGTACGAAAAATTAAGTCAATTTTTGTTAGACAAAGGATTCCATAGAGGAGCAGTTGACAAAACATTATTCATTAAAAATGAAAACTCTCACACCTTGATAGTTCAGGTTTATGTGGATGATATAATCTTTGGTTCCACTAACTCTGCACTGTGTAAAGAGTTTGAAAATGATATGAAGAGTGCTTTTGAAATGAGTCTCATGGGTGAACTGAACTACTTCCTAGGACTGCAAGTTAAACAAACTAAGCAAGGAACCTTCATAAGTCAGACCAAATATCTTCTCAACATCCTCAAAAAGTTCAAACTTCAAAATCTTAAAACTGCCTTAACACAAATGGGTTCAACAGTAAAATTAACAACAGATGAAACTGGGATCCTTGTTGATGAAAGAATGTATCGTGGGATGATAGGGTCTTTGTTATATTTGACTGCTAGTCGACCAGATATAATGTACAGTGTCTGTGTCTGTGCTTCAAGGGTGTCCTAAAATGAGTCATCTCTCTGCAGTGAAGATGATTTTTTGATATCTAAGTGGTACCTCTAACTTAGGTTTATGGTATTCATGTGATTCCAGTTTGGAACTCGTGAGTTACACTGATTCAGACTATGTTGGATGTACTATTGACTCTCTCCTACTGTCACTCTAGAAAATGGCCAAGTGTAACCACTTCCTAAAGCGTAGTATAGCGGGTTTGGGTTTTAATGTCAACCCGGGTCCTAGATGTGATGACTACTCCGTGAGTTCTTATTATTTAGCAGTGAACTTTTAATGAAGGTCCAAACAAGCAAACAAACAAAACAAGTAAAAAGGTTGTTTTCAAGTCGAGAGAGGTCACCCGGATATGGTTCCCCCTAGACTGCAGTTAAGCCGGATTGTAATTCACCAAGTTCAAGTTCAAAGATAGTTATACTGCGGGAGGTTCTCAAACAATCTGAAGTCTCGACTAAAGGTCTCCAGACCCTCTCAATCTGAGTCTCCAGCGGGCGACTAACCTCTACCGGAGTAAACAGATTGAGGCCCTAATGAACCAAACCTCCACTACCGAAGTAAATTCGGTACAGAATAGTGAATTGACTTCTCAACTAAAGTCGCCAATTCACTACCTTCAATCAAGGGTGCTCTATCAACCTAGGCAGATATTCTCTTTCTAGGTTAAAGCAGAAACAATAGGAATTTGATCAGGATTCATGCCATTCAACAAATCAAACCTCAATTGAACATAATCTTTTCAATGAATCTATACTTGGGTTCATACAATCAGACCTAACTTAAAAATCTAGGGTTCTTCATACCCATGTGAATAAGAAAACTACTCCATAGAGAGAGATGGGAAATCTAGCTCAGATGCGGAAACCATACTGTGAAGGATGATAATCTGCTTCTGGCACTCAATCAGGTCTTCTCCAAGCTCAAGTCGGGCTCCAATGGTGATGGAGATCGATCTATGACACTTGCAGAGTCAGGTTCGTCACTTTCTCTCTCTAGGTATTGCTCTGTCTCTCTAAAACTCGGAATCCCTTCTCCTTTCGCTCAAATCTGCCAAAAAAGGTCGATTCTGGGAAAAACACGGTCAAGGGCACGACCGTATGTTTCTTTTGCCCGCCCGTGCCCTTGCCACGTGTTAAAAACACGCCCACATCTGGGGAAAACACGGTCGTGCCTATAGATGGACACGGCCGTGTTTTCTGTCACTCCCGCCCGTGTTTTGGGACATCGCAGGAACACCTTGGATCAAGCCTCGGCATAAATAACACGGTCCAGGAACACGGCCGTGTTTTGGTTTAGTTCAGCCCGTGCTTTTCCTTCTCATCAGTTCAGCTCTCGGCAATAAAAACACTGGCGTGCTCTTTGGTGTACACGGCCGTGCTCTTCAGGCCTCCTGCCCGTGCTTTGGCACCAGCTCGACCGAATGACCTCCAAATGCCCCGAAACTCGTGCTTAGCCTTTCCTTCGATGTCTGGGACCTGAAATATGACAAAGCAGCACAACCCGGCAAAATAGGCCAAAAATACACGACTACGCCCCGCAAACGGATAAGACTAGGGGTGCAAACATGTGCAATTACATAGTTATCAAATTCCCCCACACTTAACCGTTTGCTTGTCCCCAAGCAAATCAAGTCAGACACAAGGTAAGCTCAAAACATTTTAATCAAGCAGGCTTTAGGGGCATGTCATATCGGCACAAAACACGTGAATCATACTAGCTTTTGATCATTAACACATGGACAACCTCAACGACAACCTACACAACCACTACAGATGACATTCGAGTGCAACAAAGTCGAGCAAAGGAAAAGTCTCCCTTCAGGTCACCAACCAACATAGACTTGACTCAACCACTTATTTAAGACAGTCACTTCATGCATAAAGCTCAAGATATCAGAATTAAGACTGAGCAATCTAGGTCCTCACCGGGGTAAAGAGTATAGATAATATGAGAAAATGAATCGCTCACTCTCGACCAGTGGGGTTAGGACAATTTGATGCAAAAAATGCGCATGCTTATTCTCTCAATCCCTAACGTCTCTTCACCATGAAGGCAGCCTCTAAATGCTAGAGTTCACATATGGGGTGTCACCACTAACTAATCCGGAGGTTTTAGACACATGTTCAAATGACTGGCTAGGGTCTTGGACATGGGGAAAAAGCCTTTTAGGTGGTGGAAATATTCATATCACAAGGTTCCACAATTCCAAACCCAACACACTCACAGTCAATCAAACCACTCTTTCTTTCTGCCATTCTGCATTACTCACATTATTTAGAGCACAAGAGCGAAGAAGGTCACATAAATGTTAGTATTTCCAAGCCACACTACTAAGAAACACTACTCAATGTGCACTATTCAGATTTTGTGGTGGTGGCCCTCTTTTGCTTTCATTCATTTTTTTTTTCTTTTCTTTTTTTTATTTCTTGAGAGAACCACCACCTATGCACATTTTTCAAACACATGCCCAACTTTTTTAAGAACTACCTCCAACCCTCACATTATATTTAGCAGAAACAATAGAGAACATGTAAAAACCACTCTGTGGAACCTTCTAAAAGATGCAAAGGGGTGAGTTTCCATTGTAGACCGAAAGAAAGGATAACACACGGCTCAAAGGGCTGACTAGGGGGTATGACACATCAGGACAGTCAATTTGGTCATGGGCTAATCCTATGCCTCCATCATCTTAGCTAATGGCAACGTGAATGCTACACATCATGGAAGAGGGAACTATTGCACAAGAAAGAAACGAGCATGCTCAAATCTTACATGGCTACCTATATGCTCTATCTCTCATTTTGATTCCCTGAACTAGATGCATAAATGACTGTCAAGAGCAAGTTATCAATCCAAGTCACAGTTGGAAAGCAAAGAGTTGAAAAACTGAACCCCTACACAGTTCTACTGCACATCTCAGTCATCATTATAGGCTGTCCTAGTTATAATCAAGTTGTCATGCATTAATTCGAATGCCATTCGATTCACCAATCAAATCCACAGTGCCAATACGATCAAACATCAAGCAAACAACAGTACTTGGAGTCCTCAAATCTCGAGATTTGGACAGCGGACTAGGCTCCAAGCACACATATATACGTTCCAATGAATACAAAGAACCCCCCCCCCCACACACACACACACACTTAAATGCGATAGTGTCCTCGATGGAGAAGAGGGAAGGGGAATAATGTTACCGTGAAATGAGATCCGGCACGGGGACTGGAAGGCAGACCGGTCAATAGCAGGGGACTGGAGGGGGGACCAGTCCAAGGCACAGAGCTAAAGTCATCAAAAGACACACACTGGGTGAAAGAACCGGAGTTCCAAATCTACAATCCAAAAAAACAAAGCAGAAAGAAACAATAAAAACATGGAGTCTCAGTCTGGAAAAGAAATGAAGTGCAGAACCAGCCACTAGCCACTAAAACGCATCGCCACCATCGCCGGTGGGTGGAGGGTACTCGTCCTCATACCACGGTGATTGCACGAAGGGTTAGTGCACTGAGTTCGGGTCCAGGCCCAGGTAAGACATGATATAGTGATGGCCGGACATAAGGCAACTGCTGCGGTCTCGCTCACGATCGAGGCGGGTGTGAATGCTCTCCTGGGCGGCCAAAATGCGCTCGTTCTGTTGAGCGATGGCCGCCAACTGGTGAGAAATGGACACCGTGGGAGCAGGAGACCCTGGAGTAGCGAAGGGGCTCGCGGGGGTCTGGGCACGACGAACAGTACGGCGGGAAACCCAGCGCCCCCCAGCTGCGCTCGACTCTGGCTAGTCGCCCCCTTCATGTTCAGGTGCAGGCGGCCGAGGGAGACCCGCAATCCAGTGCAAACGCTATTGTCGAGCAAGCATGTGCTGATGGCGGAGGGTGGCTGACTCGCTATGACACAACTCCTAACAAAGGCCAAGTGTAACCAATGAAAGGGACTGCAGTATAGTGGCTCAAGTGATAAATATCGAATCCACGGGTCTCTAGAGTTACTATTACTCAGCTTCAGTTTATTATTTAGCAAACCAGATTAAGATGAAAGAACTAAAACTTCTCTAGCAAACTACAGTTAAAGTTAATCTAATTACAGGTTGGGAACTCACTTAGGTATGATTCCCCCTAGCCACTAGCCAGATTAACGATTGATGATTTCTAACTTGTTTCACTTTCATTCACAATGTGGAGAATCCTTGACTAAACCTTGAGTCTCAACTAAAGGAACAAGGCCCTCTTGAGTCAATTGCCTAGAGGGACGTATCCTTCTCTAGAACAACCGATCAAGGCATTCTGAACTAGAATCCCTCTATCGAAAGAGGTTCTCAATCGATACAAAGCAGTGAATCAACCCTCGACTAAAGAAATCTCGATCGAGTACTATCAATCTATGGTGCTCTATTGACCTAATCAGGTATTCGCTCTCATAGGATCAAAGCAGAATCAATAATCTCGACTAAAGCAGAATTGAATCATGAAAACATGCATAGATTGAATATGAACTCAAGGTTATCAAGTCAGAGTACTCATACAATCATCCAATCAAACAAACATAGCTAGGGTTCCTCAAAACCTAAGTGAAGGGAAGTTACTCCATAGAGAAGAGAGAGACACGGCCGTGTTTTGCTTTTGCCCGCCCGTGTTTTTCCCCGTGTTAAAAACACGCCTGCGCGCATCGGCCAAAACACGGTCGTGCCTAAATATGGACACATCCGTATTTTGATTTAGGCGCGCCCGTGTTTTTACTGCCGAACTTGTTCCCCTGTATTCAATGCTTCGTTTCTCCCTCGTCCGGACTCCGAATCAGTCGCCGTTTGATCCTAGACGCTCGTAGTCTCGTCCTATTTATTTTCATAACAAGCTTGAATTATTCTTTGTCCATAAAGTGAGGTAGAAATCCATTCTTCTTCAGGTCATGCCCGAGTTTCTTCTCCCTAATCGCCAATTGATCTCTGATTGACTTGAAACTTGCGCCTATGCTTCACTTTATGTGCTAGGACCTGAAATGTGACAAAGGAACACAACTTAGAGTAAAATAGGCCCAAGACGCGATAATTTAAACTCACACGATCAAGAAACAAAGGGGAAAACATGTGCAAATATCGAGTCATCGAATCCCCCCACACTTAACTATTTGCTTGTCCCCAAGCAAACCTAACTCAAACCAATGCAGCTCTCCAGACCTCTATAGAAACATACAACCCCGATCGTTGGTATAGGATTTCCTAGATCATATAGCAGATTACGAGGTCAACTGGTCTTCTAAGACGTTCCCTATCTCTCTCAATGCGAGTACTAGACTCAAGCCAGGATCATGAGAAGAAGTAGAAGTGAGACAGTCAGTTCATGGATAAAGGGACTCACACCATTCATAACCAAGGACTCGTTGTACCGGGGTGCTCTTTCACTTCGTTTCACCATTGGAACCCCTTTTTCACTTTCATTTTACTTTTTTTTATTTTTCATTCACTTGGCGGGGATTCCAACTACAGTCTTTTGCACGGTCGACCCTTATTAGTCGAGCAAGAGCAATTTCTGTACATCTGGCGCGCCAGAGTACTTCTTTTAACTCCTTTTCCTCAACTCGCATGGAGGGTCAATGAAATTAAGGGGTGTCGGAAGCTCTATCCGTGCCCTTAAAAACACATCCTCAAGTAGGCAAACCGTTTAACGGGTGGAAGTTTTACTTGTACTAGAGACAGCTTAGCTTCACCTTGTAGGAGTACCCCACTATGGATCACTAAAATCTCTTCCAAAACCCGATTTGGTCCAGTGAACGGTGCCGCACACGTTGGGCTTACCCCATGTTTAAGATTTTGATGATTTTGACATGGAGGACCAACTGCATTTTTCATTTTCCACATGAACACCCTGTTCGATACACAAGTCCATAACACGATCCACATAGAGTCACCAATACCACATGAATTCAACGGTCCTAGCTCCACTAATTCACAAAATCAACTTGCACAGCAGAGAGCTAGATAGGAAAAATCTTATACTTCAACATCCTCCATAGTGCTACACTACCTCCCTAGGTTGCACATTACTATAGAGACTGTCAATTCAAAGCATACTGAGCAGGCAATTTGCAAGGAAACACGTACTTGGAGCCCTCAAATTTAAAAATTTGGACAGTGGACTAGACTCCAAGCACAAAAACAGCCAAACATTCACCCGCATACATAATCGAACATCCCCCCACACTTAAGCACGACATTGTCCTCAATGGAGGAAAGATAAGAAGGGTAGAACGAAGTTACTAGATCTAGGGTGAATGATGGTGGATGGGGCAGGCGGTGTATTCCCGGAGGAGAGAGTGGTCAGAACACAAACACCACACAGAATCTCACAAAGGTTGAGTTATTGACTCTAAAATCAAATAATAAAACTGACTCAACCGAGGAGAAAAGAGAAAGAAATGCAAACCGACTGGTTGGGTTGCCTCCCAACAAGCGCTTCTTTCACGTCATGAGCCGGACGATAGTTCCTAAGTTTTGGTCCACCCCAAAACCTCCTTGAAGTTGAGATTCTCATCGATGAGGTGGAGTCTCAAGTCACGAACATGTGGTATGGCAGGTGATGGAAGCTCGTGCACTTGATGCAGATGAAGTCTCCACCCTCGAGACCTCTTCTTCTCTTCTCTCGTCTCATTGCCCCAAACCAGATATGACAGCATCGATTGGCCACCATCGTGTCCACCAAGAGGAACCGTTGTCGATGTGGCCTTGGTCTGGCAAAGAGACACTGCAAATGGGTCCTTGCTAAGCAGTTCCTCGAAGTTTGGTGGGGATATTACTTGCAACTCATGATCGGTGCAAGCCTCTTCCACCTTACCTCCCTCCTCAGCCTGGACGCCAATTGCTTCTTCAACCTCCCTTTCTTCTTCATGTGGTATCACCCCTGGGAAATGATCAAGAACTCCTTCTGCTTCACTTTCGTCATCCTCCACAACTTCTTTCTGCACTGTTTCTTGCTCTTCTTCTTCCAGCACGGATTGGAGAGCAAGTTGCCAAGCAATTTCTTTCATGAGATCTTCTTGCATCTCCTCACTCATGCCCACCTCTTCAAAGCTCGGTGTGGGATGTGGGAAGGGGTGGTCGGCTACGACAGGACATTCTTGATCATGATCTTCACGGGAGCTCTCCGTGATAATCTATGTTTGCTCCACAATGTCCTTGTAGCCTTCTTCTTCCTCCTCCTCTTCTAGTATGGTAGCAGACGAGTGATCTTGAGCAAGTTGTGCACAAACTTGCTCAACCCGCTCTGGTTGCTTTGATGAGTGCGACACAGTCTCCTCTGATTCACGGAGGGATGAAGAGTTAGGAGGAGCAACAGATGAGAAAAGGAGGTCCATCTTGCGAGCATACTGCTCCACGAGAAGCCTCAATTCATAGTTTGGATCTGGCTGTGGAGTGTAGCATAGCTCTGCAGAATGGCCCGTGAAGGCCGCTATGGGTAACTCCAGCTCCAATGGCCCTTCTGGTTGTGGGAGAAAGTCTTCTCGATAAGGAGGTTGTTCTTGATATGCCTAGGGGTCTGATTTTTCTCCGTAGTAAGGGGGTGGTACTGGAACCCGAATCCAATGTCTTCTCCTCATTTATTTCTCCAGGGAGTCTCGGGGTAATACCACTCGGATGGTGGTGGATACCCCCAATGATTGGAGAAGCCATGAGGATCCATGATTCAAATCTGCACCAACAGAAACAAAAACACCCAAGTGAAAAGCAAGGGTGGAAAAGAAAAGAAAAGAAAAAACGCTAAAGTAACAAACTTCTGCCTTTCCTAATAATCTAGAAAGGCCCCGGCAAGGACGCCAAAAACTTGACTCGCTATGACACAACTCCTAACAAAGGCCAAGTGTAACCAATGAAAGGGACTGCAGTATAGTGGCTCAAGTGATAAATATCGAATCCACGGGTCTCTAGAGTTACTATTACTCAGCTTTAGTTTATTATTTAGCAAACCAGATTAAGATGAAAGAACTAAAACTACTCTAGCAAACTACAGTTAAAGTTAATCTAATTACAGGTTGGGAACTCACTTAGGTATGATTCCCCCTAGCCACTAGCCAGATTAACGATTGATGATTTCTAACTCATTTCACTTTCATTCACAATGCGGAGAATCCTTGACTAGACCTTGAGTCTCGACTAAAGGAACAAGGTCTCTTGAGTCAATTGCCTAGAAGGACGTATCCTTCTCTAGAACAACCGATCAAGGCGTTCTGAACTAGACTCCCTCTATCGAAAGAGGTTCTCAATCGATACAAAGCAGTGAATCAACCCTCGACTAAAGCAATCGATCCACTACTATCAATCTATGGTGCTCTATTGACCTAATCAGGTATTCGCTCTCATAGGATCAAAGCAGAATCAATAATCTTGACTAAAGCAGAATTGAATCATGAAAACATGCATAGATTGAATATGAACTCAAGGTTATCAAGTAAGAGTACTCATACAATCATCCAATCAAACAAACATAGCTAGGGTTCCTCAAAACCTAAGTGAAGGGAAGTTACTCCATAGAGAAGAGGGAGACTGCAGTAAGAATCTTCAGATGATCAGTCTTCAAGTCAGGGCTTGTTCCTCGAGCTTCCAAGGTGAAGAAATCCTCCAATTACACTCTTAGAATGCACTCAAATTGCCCTCTCTCTCTTTGGTTTGTCCCTTGGGTTTTTGAGATCCAACACCCAGCTCCCCCTTTCCTTTGGCTTCAATCTGCCTAAAAAACCCGATTCTGGGCAAAACACGGTCGAGGACAAGGTCGTGTTTTGCCCCGTATTAAAAACACGCCTGCGCGCGTCGTCCAAAACACGGTCGTGCATAAATATGGACATGGCCGTGATTTGATTTAGGCGCGCCCGTGTTTTTACTGCCGAACTTGTTCCCCTATATTCAATACTTCGTTTCTCCCTCGTCTGGACTCCGAATCAGGCGCCGTTTGATCCCAGACGCTCGTAGTATCGTCTTCTTTTTTTTCATGACAAGATTGAATGATTATTTATCCATAAAGTGAGGTAGAAATCCATTCTTCTTCAGGTCATGCCCGAGTTTCTTCTCCCTAATCGCCAATTGATCTCTGATTGACTTGAAACTTGCTCCTATGCTTCAATTTATATGCTAGGACCTGAAATGTGACAAAGGAACACAACCTATCGTAAAATAGGCCAAAGACGCGATAATTAAAGCTCAAACGATCAAGAAACAAAGGGGAAAACATGTGCAAATATCGAGTCATCAGTGGCCTCGCTAAATGGGGTCGGGGCTCGGACCATGGTCATCCCAGTGATGTCGACCCCGTAGTAGCGGGCTAGGGAGGTGATCACCGGGCCATAGAAAAGGTGGCGATCCTGGTTGGCAGAGGCTTTGGTGAATGTCAGGGCAAGCATAGAGCCCAGCTCGATAGTATCCTCAGAGCGACCTATCGCGTGCATGAAGAACAGGGTCCGGAGGGTGACCTGATTGGCCGAGCCCCGGCTGGGAGTGTAGGACTGGGTGAGCAAATGGTTGAGGATCCGCCACTCCGGACGGAGGAGAGTGTCCCGCGTCTGGCTGGCGATGTAGCTCTCATCCACATAGTTTGGTAGGCAGATGCGCTGGAAGTAGGCCTGGTCAGCAAAGTCGGTGGGATCGGTCACCTCCACGATCAAGGGCCGGTCGCTGGGGTGCAAGGAGTTGAGCCGAAGTGCAGTGGCCAACTCCCAGTAACTGATGGAGTGCTCCACCCCGCCGAGTGCTAAATGTACCGCATCAGAATGGTCGGCCGACCTCCTCTGGGAGTGGCGGAAGGATGCGTAGAACTCCCAGACGAGCTCTTGGTAGGTCGTCTAGGGGAGGCAGAGAAGGCGCCGCCAACCATAGGCGCGAACAGCTGCCTCCATCTGCGGTCGGGCATGAAGCGCCTCGAACACCTCAAAGTCAAGATGCAGGTGCTCGGCGATATGATGGGTACGGATGGTCCGCAGCAGGTGACGTTGTGTGATGCTCAATTGGTCAAGGTAGGCTTCCATGGTCCTGCAAAGCACAAGGATGTAGAAATGGTGCACAAGCGATAGGGTCAATGTTAGCCAAAAAACACACCGGGAGCCCTCACATCGAAAGATATGGACAGTGGACTAGGCTCTCGGTGAACCAAGCATACCAATCACAACAATAATCACACCAAACAAACATCCCGGGGGCCCTCAAATCGAACGATTTGGGCAGTGGACTAGGCCCCTGGTGGAACAAACACAAAATCCATCCCAAATATTCTCTAATCGATCAATCACACATAAGCCACACAAGCACGCATACAATGCCAACATGCAAATGGTAGGCCGAAGAACTGAATTCCAGGGAAAAAAATTTAACAAGCAAAGAGCGCCATCAGCCTACCAAATCATTCTCAAATCATGCCACAATCCCAAATTCTTCACCTAACTCTAGGTATCGATTCTCCAAAAAATAAAATGGGAGGGTATGAAAACACACCTGGAGACGCAAGTAGATACCACAAGGTAGGTGAAGAAAGGGGAAGAAACACCCCAAAGTCGCCGGAAGACCCACCGGAGACTCACCGGAGAACTCGCCGCCGGCGACCCAACCTCCGCCAAACAGGCCCAAACCTCTGG